TTTTGTAATAGGTGATTGATATTAATTAACTGGATTATTTTACATTAATTAATTTATCATATTTAGTTTTTCATGAATAAATTAGTATTTTTCTTATAAACTGTCGGTTGTATTGCTTTTATTATGTTCTTTTTCGATTCTGCATCCTAAGAAACATAGAAAACGACACCCTACTTGCTTGGATCCCATAAATAAAAGTTTTCTCAAAATCACCCCCATAAACTTAAAACCCCATAAAATGGTACTTCCACCCCCACAATCACTAGGGACTCTTCAGATTCCAATACCTAATGGTAATTACTACGTTTCCTGAAAGTTTCATGAATGGACTAATTTTTATGTTTTCTACTGGGTTTTTACTTTTTAGTATAATTTTACCTGTACTATATAGTTAACACTTTACATTTTGTTTACTTATTTTATTATTTACTTTTATGTTCTTAAAAGGGGTGCGGTTGATAGACAGTGAAAGCTATCTCTAGCCGTTTGATACAAGTGAGTGGTTAAAGGTGTTCGAAACACGATGAATATGAGATTAACAAACCATGTATGTCGTTCGTTCCAAGAGGTTGTAACCGATTTTTAACAGGTTGCCGACATTGACAAGTATTTAAGTAAAGTATTAAAACGTGAAAGAGAGCGGCGAGTTCAGGTACAACCGTACCCACCTTAGGACGTAAAGTTTGAAGGCTCCAATGCTTTTTTACCATCCTTTCAGATGACAATTTCTCGAACTTGGGCCCTTTAAATGAAATATAAAGTCAAAGTTGATTAAATTAATTTAATGGTGGCTTCTGTACACCCGTGAATTTGCGGGTAGAACCTCTCTTATATTGTTAATAGCAGTTTTCTTAGACTTAATAATATATTTTATCTAACAAAGTAATGTAGGCCTACCGGTGTATTGTGCCTCATAAACATTTGTTGGGGTCTATTATTGTTTTCAATTTAGGATTGTTGTTATCTTGCACTAGGCATATCTATATCATTTCTGGTGGAAAGGTTGGTAAGATTTACATCCCTGGGTAAATCTTGACACCATCTTTGACCAAATGAGATTATTCGTACAGGAATATTATTGTAGCCTACCGGTACCTATAGCTTGCCTATATTCGATTACGTTAGGTGTAGCCTACCTATTACATTATTCAAATTCTTATTGGGAGGATAATAAAAAGCAAGACTTGTCCGCTTTAAATTATTAAAAGTGCTGATTTATTAATTGCATTCTTAAAAATTAACTCCAAAACAGAAATTGGCCTAAGTTAATATAAATTGGCTTTGGAACCGTAATAAATGCCTTTGAACCAGTCTTTGAAGCTAACAGTGAAAAAGGGACCTAAATAAACCATTTTTTGCCAAGTTAACCAATCATTTCAAGCTAAAGATTTCTATTTCAACCTAGGGTTCTCAGAGACCCTCCATCAAAAAAGAGGACAATATTATGACTCGCGGAAGTTACCTTGGATGGATTTTTAAGGATCATCTCAATTTTTAAGATTTAGAATTACTTTTATGCATTTTAAGGGCTTTTAAAAAGTTTTTAGACTATTTAGATAGGCGTAAAACTTTGAGAATTTTGGAATTTTTTAAACTCAATATTGTCTAATAATTAATTCCTAAAAACATAGCCTTTTTTGTAAGTTTTAAAAGCATAGCCTTTTTTGTAAGTTTTCGAAATTTTAAACTAGAATTTTCGATTTGCTAGCCAATTCTTTAGTATCACTAAAATATTTACTTTAAATTTTCATTCAGGCATGCTTATGTTAACAATGCTATAATAAATCAACCGGTATATTTAACATAATTGATAATTGATTGATCTTATTTCATGAAAGCCCCTGAGTCTAAGTTTGGCAATGTTTTTGTAAATAGAGTATAAGAGATATAAAGTCAATGGTATAAGTTAATACCTTGGATAAAGACATAGATACTGATTAATTTTTATTTATTTAATACAGTATGTTCCCATAGTGAGGGATTTCGCGGTATAATTCCATTTTACACAACACACTGTCAATTTTTGTCAAGTGTCTGTCAACCACAAACACAAACCAACCAGTCCGATTACGATAATAACGTACGACTACGATGGGCAAATATCGATTGTAGTAGGATCTATCGATTTGATCGATAGTTGGCGACTGACGACTCGAGTACTCGACCGAATCAACGATGACGTCATGGCCTGCTGTGCTCTCTACTACAGCGCTGTTCACGGAGGAAATTTGAACTAAATTTGCCTCATTTTTACCTCCCTTCAGTCAGACCCGACTTCTTCGGTCATCGGATCTTGGCGAACGAAATGAACGAAAAGACCGAGACTGAACGAAACAAAAGTAAACTACGTGAATCAACACACGGGTCTTTTGAATAGCCCCCCACACACTACCAGACCAGACCTCCAGACCAGACCGTCTGGTCTGGCGTCTGGCACTTGTCTTATCGTGTGTGGGACTGTCTGCAGACCGATTTTCTCGGACCAGACTGTCTGCGTGTCTGATGGTTGAACCCTCAGACCACAGACGGTCTGAGGTTCCCCCACCACTATTTTTGTCTGGTCTGTGAGTGTGTAGCGCTGTCTGTCAGACGGCCGACCATCGTTGACGTTACAGTCTTTTTCCATTAGTTGGAGTTCTCACCGCGGTGTTTCAATTTCGAATGTTGGAATGTCTGGTCTGGGAGTGTGTAGAGCCGTCCAACCAAGACGGGCTGGTTGTAGCCAGACGGTCAGGGCCGAACTTACCTAGGGGCGGACGGGGCGAGCGCCCGGGGCCCCCGGGCCTAGGGGGGCCCCGAAAGGGGCCCCTTGCACAGTAGTTTTTATTAATATCTTCGAAAATTAGTCAGACACTTACCGAATGGCCTTCTGTTTTAACAGCTTTATTGTCGTTATCCTATATTTAAGGTTATTGTTAGGTGAATTTTAAGGTATTACTAGAACCAAAATTCTTGACTCTAAGGGACTTTTCCTCAGGGTTGCACTAGTTTACACGAGCATAGCTGCTAGGCTGTGACGGACCAGTTTGAGTTTCAATGAAGCCGTTCACACAAACGTACGGCCGCGGCGATCGAGTTGAAGGGGGCCCCTTCGCTTGGGGCAAAAAATACAATAAATAATATGAAAACTCTTGTCCTAACGTAGAACGTAACTTGTACAATTGTGTTGGGTTAAATGGAGATTCAATGGATTTCTAATACTTTTGAAAAATAAAACATTGCTCTGTTTATGTTTTATTAGATGTTATTCTTTTACCTCTAAGTATATGCCAATCACGATTTTAAGGGGCAGAAGTATTATATTAACCATTCAATTAAAAGGTTTTGTAAAATAGTAATTAAGTTATACGTCAAAATTTGGATCCTCAATTTAGTCGTTAGTCAAAATCATACAGCGCCAGTAGGCTAAAAAAATCTATATAGACATTTTATGACAACTAGGGTCGTCTGATGTTGACAAAAAATACATTATTTGGGAGCGGGCGAGCGTTGTAGACTGAAATCGTAAAAAAGCAACAAGCAACTGCAACAATAAATGATAATGAGCTGATAAGGGATCCTGTCTAGTCCTGTCTGTCTCACACGCATACACATACATACAATGTCTTATCGCCTATCCAAAACAATTTAAATCACTTTACTCCCAGTGTGTTTTTGGTTGACATTGTCGTACTTTTGTGTTGTATTTTATTAATAATTCTGCAAACACTACAAAGAACAAATTAATGTTATATTGAATGTTATGTTTGTGTTGTATTAATCTGAGATATTGAATACATTTAAACATCTTTCAGTTACTCATATAAATGGTTAGCTTGTGATTGGTTATTAGACTTGTATTGTAACATTTTACTCGTCAAGAAAAAACTCAAACTCGTTAAAGTTCTTAATGGTACTTTTCATGCTAGGACTTTAACATATTATACAAACGAGAATTCCATGCCGAAACCACTATGAAAATAAACATAAGTCGTAGTTTATGGTTTTATAGTTTTAGTGCGGCCAAGAAATGTAGGAAAAGGGGGTTTTAATTGCCCTGCAAACGTGACCAACGTATCAGAGTAGGAAGTGACATTTATTTATAGGGGAAATAACTATGTTCTAAACCTTATAATGATTAATCTATAAAAAGTAAACTTTAAAATAGTTTTGACTTGTATCTTATAAACTTAGTAAAAGGGTTAGTCTATGGTAAAAGGTTTGTTAGTAAAATTATAGTAAGTTATAAAATATATTAAAGCTTTAAAAGTTTATGCATTATCTCTGACTTACATCACATGTTTAAATATAACTTATTCCATTTAATTAATGTTAGTTATTTTTTATTTGTGTTTTCATTCAAGCAAGAATGTGTATTACAGTAAAAAATTAAACTAAACCTTGTTATTTTATTTTTATTTTATCTATAGTTTTCATTATTTGTTGCAAAGGATAATAAATTTTAATGTATTGCAAAAAAATGTGTAAGGCGTTGGTATTAGGTATACTAAAATTTTATAAATACAATTCCAACAAGAACAAATCATAACATAACACCGTACATTGTAGCTATTTTCAGACTTAAAATATTACATAAAATTAAATTATGCAAAATACAGCATGCTATTCTAACAGGTTTACATATTAATTCACCTTGAAATTGCCTATTTAAAATTAGTGTGCATGTAATATGCGTTACATTGTGTACCGTATTTGTTCTCGTATAATCATACTGGGGGCCCCATCGGCAAATTCGCCCGGGGCCTCTGAAGTCCTAAGTCCGGCCCTGCAGACGGTCTGGTCTGGTGGTCTGGTCTGGTAGTGTGTGGGGGGCTTAAGTGTGACCCGGATCACTCGTTCACCTGACTGATCCGTATGATGGTCATCATGGTGGAAATGGTCATGACCGAACGACACATCGACGACAGTCGAAGTCGACACATCTCTACTCAGCTCCCGCTCTCAGCTCTGCTCTGAGCTCAGCTGTTTGGTTAGGTTATAGGTTCAGGTTGTTTGTTTCGTTGTGTGTTGTGTTGTGAGTGGGAGTTGATATTGTGATGTCTGATGTCGTCGGCTTTCGGCTTTCTGGTTTGTTAGGCTAGTTCTTAATTTATAACATAGTTTTTCAAGTTTAATTGTGAACAACATTACATATTCCTAGAAATAACTGAAAATTGAGAAGACTGTAAATTAATTAAGGGAAATAGTTAACTAGCTCAAGCTGAGTTTTATACACCTGTTAAGTAAAAGTGTATTTAACTTTTAAACCTACCTAGGCCTATTATATCAATCAAAAGCCTAACAGCTAGGCCTAGGCCTTATCTACTTAGTTAGATAATCAAAACCTAATTTCTGAAGTAGTACCTCGTGCTATAATGGCAAATTCTGCGGAAGAAAGGTTGAAAGTTATTTCAAGACATTTGATGGGTAGTACCTCGAGAAACAGGCCGGTTAGGAACCTCACATCTGCCTGTGACAAAGTTAAAACAGAATCATTTCCTCAGGAAATCAAAAGTGCAGTCCCAAAAAAGAGGTAAGGGCAAAACTTTGATACCCTTATGCACGATAGCCTTAATTTTAAAATTGATTATGTTAAAAACTCTATTGTTTCCTAGGTACAGTGGGTCTTATTTGTACTATTTTTGCCTCTGTAGGGTAGGTAGGTCACCCAGATTGCAATAAGTAACTTAGTATAATGTGGTGTGTGAACTGCTAGGCTACAGTGTTTCCACACGACCAAAATAATAATCCCGCTTACTGGGTCGAAAAATCCCGTTTTATCCCGCTTTTAAATCGGTGAAAAATCCCGTTTTATCCCGCATGATTTATTTGGTACAATTTCTAGTATTAAACTTTACGTATCATTTTTATAAGTTGTTTAAACATCACTATTATATTTTGCTACATTATTTAAACAATTTGAGTTAGTTTTTCTCTAAAATTGAGTAGAAAAAAAATATAAATAGTCGTCACAGCCGAAAATCCCGTTTTATCCCGCATCCCGTTTTAATCCCGCTCAAGGTCTAAAAATCCCGTTTTCGGGATAATAATCCCGCGAATGGAAACACTGCTAGGCTATTAATTGTCTTTATCACTATCTTTGGCACTACACTAAGTTAGATGTAAAAATAAAAGAGAGTAAGACTTACAAAAAGCAGATAAAAATCTGAAAAAAAACATTGATGTTTTAAGTTACCGCAGTCCCAAAAACATGGATGTTTTTGCAACAATGTTATTGGTAGGCTTACCTATTTATAGGTATTGATGGTTGGCGTCGATGTTAACTTACCATCGATGGTTACTTGTGTGAACCTGGCAATAACTCGGCAGTAAGTAGTGCACTCGCCTTAAAAAATCTATTGCTGGCTGTTTTGCGGAAAAATACGTCCGCGATACATATTACCGATGATGCCAACAGATAGAGGACACCACAGTATCAACATCGTGTACGTGGGGGGTACCTAAGTACAGTTGTCGCAGCTAGTCTGGGCGCGCGGACCCTTGTGTACTAACCGTCCCCCACGCCAAAGCCATGAAGACAGCAGTGTTAAGTTATTAGATACCGGTACCTTTGAACATTAGCCTACCCACACCTTCAATTTTATTTGTAGCAAATTTGCTATAGCCTAGCCTGCAAAAACAAAGATATAGGTAGCATTTTTAAGTTGTGAATAGTAAAATGCTAAAAATGCTCCCGCAGCTTAGCCTAAACCCTGGACGTATGTCATTTTCAAGTGGAATGAACTGTGGGTGAAGTAGGTAGGCCTACAGCTGATTGTTTTCAACAACTTATCAAGCAACTGGAAGTGATAACTTTATTAACCCTAGCAGTGGCCAACCGTCACTGGGTGACGGTTTGCCGTTGATGCTTAGAATGGCCACCGTCATAACGTGACGGTATGGGCCAAAATTATTTTAACGGTAAAAAAAAACACTTATAATCAACTCAGATGAGATCAATATATATACAATTCTAAAGATCACATTCTGAACTTTCATTTTATTACATAAACAAACCCTGTAGCAGGTATATAACAATGTCACGACGATTAGAAATCAAATGAATTTTTGGCGCGGCACGACTTTTGCAGCCAACACTTGGGAACTGGCAAAACACGTCTTGTTTGGCATTACCCTGCTCGGGTAATTTTCGTCTTGGGATGTTGTGGGTGGTACCACTGGATGACCATTGATTTTATCTTCATTGTGGTACCGTAGTGATATTTAGAACTAAATATTGATTGGACAACCAGTATGATTTTATGAAAACAGCTGTTTTCGAAATTTATAACAAATGGCCAATCGTCACCTTGTGAAGGCATGGAAAATGCAAATTACATACAGTGTAAGTTATTATTAGGCTACTAGTCATATAATATGTCATTTTGAAGAGGAAGAAATGTAGCTTGTGATAGTGGCAGCCCTGCGCTCAGGGTTATTTCCTTTTTCTCTCACTAAGACGACGAAAGCTTGTCACTACTGTCAAGGTCTCATACACAAAGTGCCTTGTATTCGCCATTGCGTGTTGTTGCTGGTGAGTTTTCGCTCTCGTTTTATCCGCAATTGATTACTAAATTTGTTATTATTTCGTATTTTTAGAGAAATGTGTATATAACAGTACCGGTAATCTTCATGCATTTTATTATGCATGAATATTTACTGAATAGTGTCAAATTGTGTTTATGAAAGGTTGTGTTTTTCTTCCGGTTGTATTTTGTGGTTTTCCGTTTATTTATATTATTATGCCCCTAGCATGTAAAAACACAAATTGTTACCCAACATGTTATACATTTTTAGGTAGGTAATTGAATACCGGTACGCTACAAGATGTTTATGTTGGTTTGAAGTAAAAACATTTGGTACAAAAGTTTTATACTAAATACTGTGAATGTTTTTTTTAATTTAATTACTATTATTATTACTATTACTACTATTACTATTATTACTATTATTTAATACTAGGCTAAATACTATTTTATAGATTATCCTGTTCTTTCCAAACAAAATGAATATGAGGTTGGCTAGGTTTACTTTACAGTTGAATGTTAACGAATTTAAAAAAAATGTATGCAAAATTGCCAAAATGGGTTGGCCATTCCCCACTTCTAACATTGGCCACTGCTAGGGTTAACTACCTCTGATGCACATGTTAACTGAAACTCATACTCCATAGCCTATTATTGTGAGCTGAATATCTTTTGTGCTTTTCAGGACCGATTTGCTGAAGTGGAATGGTTGGGGGTACAACGACTCTAAGTTTACTGTCAATGAAAAAGAAATCATTAAATTTACTGGAAAAAGGTAGGAAGCCTACAACAGTGATGTTTCATTCTTAATATATTTCCCTCAATTGTCATTGAATTAACTAACTTAAGCAATAGCAATTGCTAGGTAGGCCTATTAAAGCCCTCACATTGGCTAGAAATTAGAATATTATTGCATTTATTTTTTGTACCCAAGCGTGTTGACACTAACTTGTCTAGAAATATGCATAAATTATTCACTTGTACAATTTTTTATTTCTTCCATAACCTTTTAAATCAACTTACTGTAAAGGTTTATTATAGAATTTCTGTTATCTGTCTATTCACTTAACTGTCACGCTCCCGGTCTCGAGGGTGACGGTTAAAAGAGGTTCTACTGTCACTTAGGTGGCCTACACTAAAAGACCTAAATAAAAATTGTGTCTGTTGATTTACAGGTATGCTATTGGAGAGCAGGAGTTGCCCCATTTTACTGAATGGGTGATAAAGAAAATGAACATTGATTTAAAAGATCGATACCTTCCAAGAGATCCACCTAAAGTGTTCCCTCCTCCAAAAGCTACACAAGGTATGTGATGTCATTACAAAACTAGGACATATAAGTTAGTATTTTATCCTTTGTTTTTTAAAGCAATCTTTTATATATAATTCACTAGGTATCCATAGTTTACTACCCTGTGTTTATTCAACTAGGTAGCTTATTTTTGTCTAAGTGGTTGTTGTTGAATATTCCGAGAATCTACAAATTATCACTAACTAGAAAACTATAAAAAGTTATTTTAACAAAAAACTGAATGATGTTGTTTATTCAAATTCAACTTAAGGACTCACAAATCATCTGTCATTAAACATTAATTAATATTAATTACAGACTTAGAAACATGTTTAGATATATTACTAAATCTCAACAGTTGTAACTTAGTTGACGTAATGCAGAACAGTAGAAGTAGCGTTGAAATAATAGGGCTTGGCTGATTTTCACCCTGTTGTAAAATATTAATGTAAAAGTATTAATGTCATATGGTTTTCATAGTTAATGCCACAGAAAATCTAAAGTAAAAAAAACAAATAAGAAGGAAGTCAATAAATGTACACTTTTGTCAAATGTTTCTCACTTACAAAAAGATTATTAACAACATAAATATATACATAATACCATAATACCTACTCCATGGTTCAAGACTCATATCCAAACCCACAAGGTCTGGTCACCTGTCCGTCCCTCTTGATACTTACCTATACCATAATCTAAAATCAATCAATCAATTTGTACCTAGGAAAGAAGTTGACTTCCATCTTCATCAGATAAAATGAACAAGTATGCCTTAGTGAAGAAAATTATATAATGTAAGTCAGAATATGACATTTTTGTATATTCATCGCAACCTGATTCTTGACTGTTGGTAGGTAAAATAAAAAATAAAATAGGCCTAATTTAATATTGCTATTTCAAAATTCAATTTGTATTTTTGCAGAATTCCTCGACAAGTTAAGCAAATGTGGGGTCGCTCATTCGATAGAAGGCATGGAGAGACTTGTGCGATCTCATGGACAAACTCTTCACGACATTTACCATCTTCGTGTCTCGGAACACATGGATAGGATACCGGATGTAGTAGTTTGGCCTGGTGAGTTTATAGGTTAGTTTGGAATTAATATTAGGAGATGAAATTGTAAAATAATAGGTTAGGCTGCATATTAAAGATAGTTGGACCGAGACGCCATTGGCGTAAGCTAAACACATACTATTGAATAAATAACAATTCCATCAAACACATTGGTGTAAAATCTTGTCTTTGCAACAAAATCAAAAACTGTCAATATTATTGGTTTAGTTTTGAATTATCGATGACAAATTTGGAAACTTTGTAAAGACATTGGCTACGGTACTTTAAGAAGTGGGTGGATTTTTGCTCATTTGTAAACTTTACTAAAACTAACTTTTTCCAAAACTTGATTGTTTTCTTTTATTACAGTATCAATGGATGGTTTATTTTCAGAAAACAGTTTAATTGGTTTTCCTTACATTTTACGTTAACAATTGTGTTAACAATAGAGCAAGTTTTTTTTATTTCATTATGCTACTAATGGAACTGATTGTGTACGGCATAAAGTGACTTGCCACATCCTAGCTAATGGACGGATATTGTAGGATTGCTAGTGAGTTGATGGCTATCTGTCACCATCAAGGTCAGATTTTACTTTAGCTAAACCTAACTCTTGCTTACCCTTCCAAACCCTAACAAAGTGCAATTCACTCAAGGAATGTGAATCTTAACCCAACCTTAAACGTACTGAGAAAAACTAACTCAACTCAGAGCCTTTTGCAAAAGAGCAAATATGATTTGTATTTTCCTATCAAGGTTGATCATTTTAGGACATTAGTAGGTCTACCGCTCTGGCCTTGATATTTTAGGAAACAAGGTTAATTATTTATTTTTAAATACAATGGACATCTCCAACTTATAGTGGGGGACATTTCAACACTTTTTAAACTTTATTTTTTTAATAGGTGAATTTATGTGTTTTTAATCAAAACATTATTACATTTAGTTGTAACATAATGTTAGCTTTAATTTAGTTATTTTTTAAACCCTCCAAGTTAACATCTTAGTGTGCAATACAGAAGACCCCCTCTTAACCAACCTCGTATTAACCGATAATCGGATTATCCGCCTTCGATCGTAAAATAATACAGTTTGTTTTAACCGACCTTGCTTTGAGAGCAGTTCGGTTTAACCACCGCTTTCTAGGAATCCCGGCATTTCCGCTCCCACGCTGGGCGATGAGAACTGAACCATACGCTTATCTCCACAGGATATGACTAAGAATAAGTTATTTTGTATTGATCACAAAAAATATAGCATAGCCTATTGTCAGTTTGTCATCATCATTTGTAACGCGAGCACATCTGATCTGATTTGTTATCTGAGCGGCAAATTTATAACATTGTTACGATTGTAATTTATTAATGTGAAATGCATAATTGTATCTAAATATGTATAAGCCATAAGGTAAATGGATAAAACTTATCTGTAATGTAGTTTTTCTGTGGAAAATTTACAAATCCCTACTGCTAAAAATGTTTTCTTGTGGCGCTTTAAAACTTCTTTTCCCAACAACAAACTAAGAACTGATCAGAAATGGAGGGAGATGAATGCAACCTGTTGTCCTATTTGAGGGCTACATTTTACAGCTGGTCCAATGGCCTGCGAGTATAAAAATGACGGCAAATTTAAACCGTTCAAATGTGCCCCAATTTCCCCTAGACATGATAACATTTCTCTCAAATGACTTTAACAACAAAATCAAATAAATTTGTATACAATAAATACTTCTGAATAATAACAAGGTAACAAACCTCAACAACAACAAAAACAAAATAAATCAGGTAATAAAATTAATACAATCTGAATCTGAACATAAATAAGTTCTGTAGGTCAAAGTTTTTACAGAAAAGCAAAAATAAAGTCAATACATATACAACAAAAATAAAGGAAGTAGCAAGTGATAGAATCATAGAGTTAGCTAACGGCAAGGGTCTGTCACTAGGTTCAAGGACAAGGGAGAGGTGCCATGGCACAAGGACGTAGGCCTGCATCACAACGTATCACTACTGTACTTTCAAATATTTGTGTAGCTGGGTGTGTTCCACGGACTTGCAGCTAAAGTGGAACGTTTATTGATGAGGATTTATTGACGTTTTTCCTACCAAATAATGCTTGTAGTTTTTTGGATTTTTTAAAGATTAGTTCAGATTAACCGAAAATTGATTCGCTCTTTAAAAAACCTGAAAAATGATTGTGGTTGAAATTGAAAATGGTTAGGCTACACTTTGTAAATGGTACCTATATGTAGATATGTAATGGTAGTAGTGATACCCTAGCAGAATTGCACCACCAACCATGAAAAGCTTGATTTATGCATGAATTCTTGCAACCATGAAAAAAGGAATATGGATTATGCATTAATTTCTCCATTGGTCCATGAATTTTCAAAATCATGAATAATGATTTAACTAATATTGTAACATAAAATTTGCCATATAAAAATATTTCATATTTTAAAAACAGTATGAACATAATGAACACAAAGAGAAATACTGTCTGGAGATGAAGTTTCATGATCAGAAAAAACTGCTTAGTTCATTCGAGGTCAGGTGCTGATGTCAGCTGAGTCTTGCTTGAGGACTGTATGTGGTTCAAAAACCCAATAAAAAACCCAATAATATTTTAGTATGTTATTTAATAATATCAACCAGAATAATACACGATTTTTGTGGCCGGGTGTACGGATTTTTGTTGAATTAATTCATTAAATAAATTAATTTATAAATTGGACTTAAGATATTTGAATTCTTCTCCAATATTTCATTAGGAATAGCTCGACCTGTTTTGTTTTTAACTTTGTTTTAAATGGATATTTATAAAGCACTCTAATATAGTAGTATTTCATGTATGAAAAGTTGTTAGATACTAACACACAAAGAAACTGCCTCTCAAACTTACATTTAAATTCATTGTTAAGCCCCTGAGCTGTGGATATTATTGTAAGAATATATTACTTACGTCAATCAGCTCATTGAGTCATGAGTTTCACCTCAGTACATGTTTCGACACATTGTCATCATCAGCTGAGTTAGTACTTGTGAAGGTTTTATTCACCAGATGGCTTTGTCATGTTGAATAAATTAACACGTAACATGTAACACGAATACGACACGACACATACATTTATAACACGTAAAACTTGAAGACATGCAGGCCTGCTTGAACAAAACATACGGTCACGCCGCGGGTCGGGGACAGACTGACTATTTGTTTATCCAGGCTTATCATTGTTATCTTGGAGGCAGTGGACAGCTGTTTCTTTGGTAGGAATAGAGTTGAATATTGAGTTGGAGCTGAAATTTAGTTTTTCGTTTAGAACAACTTCCTTTGCGTCATTATTTTTATGAGCTCTGTAGATTTCATATTCTTCTAACGTGTCCAATTTTCTGCCTTTTTCACAAATGTGGAGTATTTCTAGACTGTTTTCTATTGTTCCGAATGAGTGGTTGTAGTCAATTATATGTTGGCTGAATGCTGACTTCTGTTTGTTCGTCCTAGGGTTGGGTCTGTGTTCTTTAAACCGTGTGTTAAACCCGCGACCAGTTTGGCCTATATATATGCTCGGGCAGTCAGCACATTTTAGTTTATAGACACCAGTTTTGTTATTAGTATTCTTTTCTACATTTGGCTGATGAAACTCTGACGATTGTGAATAACCACCTAAATTCATCAAATACCCTAGAACCTCAAGCAATAAATGAGTTAATGGAACTTCTAGCTGAGATATTAAAACAAAATTATTTTATGTTTGAAGACAGATTTTACCAACAAACTGACGGTCTAGCCATGGGCTCACCACTATCAGGGTTTCTAGCCAATATCTACCTCGATCATATTGAAAATGAACACATCTTTTCAAATAAAAACAAATATAAGGACAAAATATTACTCTACTATAGTAATATGTAGATGTATATAGATATATGTAGATATATAGATGTATATAGATCTGTATAGATATGTAGACGACACAATACTGTTATTCAATGGAAACAATAGACAACTGAATCTCCTCCACAACTACCTCAACAAAATAGCCCCAAAACTGAAATTCACCAATGAAATAGAAAATAATAACCAACTCAACTTTCTCGATTTAACCCTGAAAAAGAAGGACACGAAACTTGAATTCAGCATTTACAGAAAACCGACCACAACTGATCAAACAATCCATGCCAGCTCATACCATCCACATTCACAAAAAATGGGTGCCTACAACTCAATGATACATCGTTTACTAAGTATACCATTAAATAAATCCGATTTTGAATCAGAGGTAACAATAATAAAACATATCGCTAGGGCAAATGGTTATGTTGACAGTTTAGTGGACAGACTTATCACCAAACATAAGAACAAACGAGAAAATAACATTGAAACTTGTCAACTAAATCGTGAAAATAAGGCCAAATATGTATGTATTGAATACAGTCACACCATACAACACACGTTGAACAAATCTATGAAAGATAACAACTTAAGCCTAGTATTCAACACTAAAAATAAAACAAAAAACTTGCTGAATTACAAAACGCCAAATGTAGAAAAGAATACTAATAACAAAACTGGTGTCTATAAACTAAAATGTGCTGACTGCCCGAGCATATATATAGGCCAAACTGGTCGCGGGTTTAACACACGGTTTAAAGAACACAGACCCAACCCTAGGACGAACAAACAGAAGTCAGCATTCAGCCAACATATAATTGACTACAACCACTCATTCGGAACAATAGAAAACAGTCTAGAAATACTCCACATTTGTGAAAAAGGCAGAAAATTGGACACGTTAGAAGAATATGAAATCTACAGAGCTCATAAAAATAATGACGCAAAGGAAGTTGTTCTAAACGAAAAAACTAAATTTCAGCTCCAACTCAATATTCAACTCTATCATTCCTACCAAAGAAACAGCTGTCCACTGCCTCCGAGATAACAATGATAAGCCTGGATAAACAAATAGTCAGTCTGTCCCCGACCCGCGGCGTGACCGTATGTTTTGTTCAAGCAGGCCTGCATGTCTTCAAGTTTTACGTGTTATAAATGTGTATGTGTCTTGTCGTATTCGTGTTACATGTTACGTGTTAATTTATTCAACATGACAAAGCCATCTGGTGAATAAAACCTTCACAAGTACTAACTCAGCTGATGATGACAATGTGTCGAAACATGTACTGAGGTGAAACTCATGACTCAATGAGCTGATTGACGTAAGTAATATATTCTTACAACAAACTTACATTCTTAAATCTGCAAAACTTGCAGTATTCAAATTATAGGAGCGCATCTCCTATCATGAATTCATTTCAATTTCCTATCATCGTATCCTAGACCAGGGGCAGTGCCGGATTTACCACTAGGCCGATTAGGCCGCGGCCTAGGGCCGTAAGCAAAAGGGGGCCGCAGAGGAGTGAGAAAAAAATTTTTTTAGTTTAAAAACATAGTTTAAACCACCAGTTTGCCGCGATTACAGGTGACCATAATGATTTCTCAGCGGACCGAGGGACCGTAACGTTGTTCACGATTTTGCCACGGCCGCAGGTGCCAGTGATGATGTACCATCAAAGTATATTTTTAATATACTTCGATGTGATGTACCCGTGATTGCGGCCCGCGGCAGATGTTCATGATTTTACCGCGGCCGCGAGTGTTGATGATGCTGTCCCCGTGATTGCGGCTGGGGGTGTCAATAAGGATGTCCTGGTGATGGCTTCCCGAGGGGGATGTTTACGATTTTGGCACGGCCAACGGGTGACAATGATAAAGTCCTTATGATTGCAGTCCACGGGAGATGTTTTTAACACAACTTTGCCGCAATCGCAAGTGTCGATGATGATGTCCCCATCATTGCTGCTTCGCGGGAGATTTTTACGATTTTGCCATGGTCGCGAGTGTCAATGATGATGTCCCCATGATTCCTGCTTTGCGGAAGATGTTTACGATTTTGCCACGGTCACGAGTGTCAATGATAATAATAATAATATCACTATATTGTAGTGATGGTCGGATCCGGATATCGGACCATCACTGTAAATAAGATAAATGTAATTGGTAACACCGGCACCGGATTGGATCCAACAAATTCCGGATCTTGGGCTGGATCCGGTTTTGATGGATCCTATTTTTTTAAATTTTTTCCCGATTTTTTTCCTAACACAAAGCTGTCTCTATCCATGTAAGAGAGCGATTTTTTTACTAACACAAAGGAGTCTGTATCACTGTACAATCCCGATTTTTTTTAACCAACACAAAGCAGTCTGTATCACTGTACAATACCGATTTTTTTACTAACAAAAAGCTGTCTGTATCCATGTACAAGACCGTTTTTTTCCCGAGTGTTTGTCTCTTGGTACAAATAACTTATATGGCAAGGCCATGTCTCGATGTTTGTATCTAGATGCATATAGCTTATATGGCAATGCCATGTCTCAGTGTTTGTCTCTTTGCAAATAACTTATATGGCAAAGCCATGTCTCATAACTTATATTGCAAAGCCATGTCTCATTGTTTGCCTCTTGATGCAAATAACTTATATGGCAAGGCCATGTCGCAGTGTTTGTCTCGAGATGCAAATAACTTGGCAATGATGATGTCCTCATGATCGCAGTCCACGGGAGATGTTTTTAACACAACTTTACGGCAATCGCAAGTGTAGATGATGATGTCCCCATCATTGCTGCTTCGCGGGAGATGTTTACGATTTTGCCATGGTCGCGAGTGTTGAGGATGATGTCTCTTTGTTGCAGTCCGCGGGGGATGTTAAAGATTTTGCCGCAGTTACGGATACCTATGATGGCTTTGACTTGGTTTAGGAGAAATGTTCACGATTTCATCCACAATAACGGGTATCGATGATGATGTCCCCTTGATCCATAGGAGATATTCACGATTACTTTCGCAATCGCAAGGAATTTCCACCACAGGGGGAGGGCCGCTCAAGTAATTTGGCCTTGGGCCGCAAGTACCCTAAATCCGGCACTGACCAGGGGTCTCCAACCCTTTTTACATAAGGGCCATATTGTCAATTTTTGGAGGAAAGGCGGGCCAGACCGTTAACATTTCACTGCAGAAAGGTTAACAATTTTATATTCAAGTAAAAATTGAACATTTAGAACATTGAGATTGATTGATTTAAACATGTTTTATTCACATTTTAAATTTTGAACTACGGTATACAATTTAACATGAAAAAAATAAACTAATAAAACCAGAGGCTACAAAATTATGGGTTTATTTCCATGAATTCAACACCTTTATTTCTTACTTTAGGTTTATTCATTTAAATTTAAAATGGCAGTATTAGGGGGAAAAACTGTTCTGCAGTACAGTAATTTATTTTCCTTCTAGAATTTTCTATAAATAATAATCTTCTTACCTATGCCAGAAGGTGTCAATTATTGTAGATATTATTCATATTGTACATGTTTCGACCCTAACACGGCTGATCTTCAGCAGCATTCTTGTATGTAAAATTTACATAGAAATAAACATAGAACGTTTTAGCTTGCTATTTACATGTGTTTGCATAGCGTACGCTCTATTAGATAAACCTCGACCGGACGACATTTGTAAGCAAGCTAAAACGTTCTATGTTTATTTCTATGTGTTTCCTGTAAATAGTTGACAGCCATATCTTGATGTGATAAATTTTACCTACAAGAATGCTGCTGAAGATGAGCCGTGTTAGGCTCGAAACTTGTACAGCATGAATAATATCTACAATAAGTGACACCTGGCTTACGTAAGTAGATTACATTATCTAACCTAGTAAACATATTAAGATGTCAAGGCTGATCAATTTGAAATCAGAATCTTAGTATCTTATCACAAGATAGCTGAATGGTTCGTTTGAATTCTGTCCAAGGTTGCATCTAGTTACCTACGTTAGTACATGTTGCACAACCAATATAGAATGGAAAATATAGGCCTAGATGCTTGCTAGAATACATTAGGCAGTGCGTGCCTCCGAAATAAACACATAATGGAGTATTTTTATATGTTTCCCTCATGTTTATTCTAATAGTGTGTTTTGGTTTTCCAAAAAGATCTATTATTGAAACTTTTGTTCCAGTCTCATTTTACTAGAGAAGTTGAAAAAAAGTAGATTAGTGGAAAAACTCTGGTGGAAGAGGTGCCAAATTTTTTGAAAGTTTATTGTTTGTATTTATCATATGCATGTTTTATTACAAGACAAACCTATCATATCAACAACTGTGTTTCAGACAGTCATGCCGTGGTAGAGAGGCTTGTAAAGTTAGCAGACGAACACAACGTAGTGATCATACCTTACGGAGGAGGCACTAGTGTGTCGGGCAGTGTATCGTGTCCTCAGGACGAAGCCAGGACCGTTGCGGCCCTGGATACATCACAGATGGTAACAGTACAAATGTGTCTACTTCAATGTATTACTAGTAGTGTAGACTCCAGATTAACCACCAAGTGGCTGAGTGATTGTGGATTAACAAAATCATGGATTATGCAAACCTAACCTAAAAAGCCAATGATTACTAACATTGACTTATAATGTATAAATTGTATACAGCTATATAATACAGATTCAGGTTATAATAAAATATTCAAACAAAGTTGTAGCCGAAGGGGGGATTAAGGGGATGAACTTATGGGGGTGATGGATACATTGGTGGGAATTCGGGTAATCAGGAGGGAATAAACAGGGTAATGCTAATAGATTAGGAATATCTGTGTCTGGACCAAACTTAATTCAGGCGTGCTGAATCTGCTACCAATAAAATTAGGAAGATTGCTGGGGACCAGAGGGACGGAGACCTTTTACCCAGATCAGAACACTTGCCTAGCCAGCTTTGATTTACACTAATTTAACTAAATATTTAACTGTAGACCTATCCTTCCAACTATGAACTGAACATGGATAATTACTTACTAATATTGATGAGAGAATGAATGCTATGTAATTGAATACTATATGTGAAATATGTATGAATTGATTGATAACTATTAAGTTACATTCTGGGAACATGTGGTTTAGTTTTTCATGTTTAAGAACGGAAAGTTGTGATTTCCTACATTTCAATAGTCGGGTGAGCCAGAAGGGCTCCCCGCTTGTTTCCTGACTTAGCCAACCATAATTGGAACTTATATATCTACATAATTATAACTAAATATAAACTTATCAGTTTGCGGTCGCCGGTATTAGCAATTTCACAGTTTTCTCTTCGATGGATTGTAGACCAAGAACCAGAAGGAGGACAAGAGTAGGAAGGTGGGGATAGAGTGTTGATGCAGTCGCGGCAGGCTACGAGATGGTCATGCAGCCCGGCTTCGCGAAATGCACACACTATATAAAATATAGCGTGTCGCTATGCGTCACAAGTAGTGATGGTCGGATCCGGATATCGGACTACCGGATCTGAGCTAGAACCGACGCCCGATCGGATCCACAAAAAATCGGATCTTGGGCTGGATCCGGTTTTAATGGATCCGATTTTGTTTTATACTACTAACACAAAACGGGCGAGTATTCGAGATCTCGAGTTCCAGTAGAGTACAGCCTTGAAATTCGAGCTTATGTTTGAACTCACCAGTTTGGTTTAAAATTGTAAATAATCAATATTTGTTGAAATGTAACTTGTGTTTACATAAAATGATGAATAATTTGTATTACTGTAGATTCTAAGAAACTACTATTGTATTACTGTTGCTAATATAGAAATAAGCAAGAGGTAGTTGTCCTAACCTATTTTTGTAGCTGTCAGTGCTGTCACGACAGAATAGGTCAACTCAAAGCAGTCGCCGGACTGACTGACTGGCAATGGTTTACTAACTTGACACAGAATAGAATAACATGATCGGTAGTGATTTTGTTTTAAAGTAGGCTGTTTCACAATAGAAAATTTCACTACTGACCTGTTGTAAGCAATAAATTTATGTTTATAAAAGTCAGAATAGAAACACTATAAAGGCAAAACAATAAAAGGGAGGGAGAAGTTGTGCAATGACCTCGAGCAACATTGAGTAGGGGGTTAGGGGGAAAGGGAAGGGTGAGCCTTTCAGCTATATTTAGACGACTTTCACACTTCCCAAATGGCTGGGTACGGGGTACAATAGCCGGTTTTTTTTCCTTGCCTGGTTTGACTTTTATCTTTTTGTGTAGGAGATTTGAATAATCAAAAATATAATTTGAATTTACCACAATTATTTAGCATTTATGATACAATTTGCAAGGGACTAGGAGGAAATAGACCAAAACACTAAAATTAATAGAATAACACACAAAGTAAACAAGAAATGAAATACAGAACAGTGATTTAACACTGTCACTGTCACTCAATTTTGTTGTCTAGAATAAGGGTCGGTGAACTAATCAATAAACAGCCAAAACCAGTTTCCTCCCCCTCTTCTCTCTCAGTCTCACCACCACCCCTCCCCCCCTGAGCCGGGAGGCCCAGCACTTTGTCCTTGAAACACCCTAGCCTCTGAAACAATAAACCCTTACACCCGCGTTGCTGTTTTGACAACAGGGTTATGCATTCACTATTTTTCATTTTCCAGAATTAACTATCAATTATTATTATTTGTAAGTTACAAATAGGAAACTACATGACATTATGGTATTCAATTACCCATGTATTATCAAAAATTAATAATTCATTACTTATTTTGATAATAAAAAGCATTTATTACAGCACGCAGCACTTATTGATATATATAATCATCAAAGTAACTGTTACTTTATACAAAATAAAATAGGTACAAAATTGTATGGCCAGTCAAACTTTATAAACAAACATTTTATTCTATAAAATACAGATGGTAAATAGGGGTTGGTTTAAAGGAAATAAAATACAAAACAGATTAATTAATTATTTTGATAAGCAATAGAAAGGTTGTGGGATTGATTGAACTAAAATAACCGCAGGGAAACTTATAAGTAGAAAAGTCGTCAACCACAATCTGTTTAATCAGTATCCAGTACATCGTTAGAGAGAGAGGGGGGGAGAGAGAGATAGCAGATAGGGGCGTTTGATAGGGAATCTGAAAAAGTAAACAAACAAGGAACAACGACGCGACAATACTCGTTTATTGCCTTATTGTCTCGCCCACTACATTTTACACACGTGACCACTTTTTGTTTCTTACTTATCTTTCATCCGTCCCAAAATGGAATTCCTGAAATAGTTTGTTGGTATAATCTTCCCTCCCACACAAGGCGCAGTGCTCAGTGCGCACTGTAGGTTGTCACGGCAACAGTGTGTCGTCATAGCGACTAGCCAATCACGCACTCGCACTGCGTTGTAGATTATGATACGAATAGCTGTGTTAGAAAGACAACGCGATAGGTGGTAGTTTGTCTCTTTCGTATCTCCTCAAAATTACGATCGATAATCAGATAATCATTGCGAATTGTGATGACTTTGTTTTCAATAACGACACATATTAAGTGTTTTTATATGGACACAGTCTTTGACATAGCCTAGCCATATGAATTATTTTACTTATACCCACCCTTGAAAAAGAAAAAAAACGTATTTGTATTTGGATCCGAAGATCCGGATCAGATTTTTTCAAGATCCGGATCCGGTACCGACATTTTCTTGGATCCGCCCATCACTAGTCACAAGTATAGACACCTATTAATTTTGTTTCACACAGGTCTATTAGAAAAAAAGATATTGGAGAGCCTATGTAGTACCGTATAGCCTAAAAAATAAAATAAGGACTGGATAAGATTACAGATATGAAAATATATTTAAAACTTGTTTGTTACTCCATGAAAAATGTCTGTAAAAATCCCATAATCCCCCCCCCCCCCCCCCGGGAAATACCCCTGTAAAACTACCATCCATGAAAGTTAAACTTCAAAAAGTGATTAATATTTTGAAAAGAAATAATTTTGTAAGGAAGAGTTTGAATCTACCTACAGATGAGAAAATTATAGTCCATGGGCTAATAGATACACGAAAAAAGGAAACAAACAACGCTGATATTTCATTCGTGATTTGACTACTCTTTGAAGAAAATTAACTCTCTCAATTTCTTAACTAGCTAACTTAGCTTTCCTTTGAAATATAAACAAAGAGTTATAATATGTTCATCTATTGTTTAGAACAAACTGCTTTGGCTGAATGTGGAAAACTTGACGGCTTGTTTTGAGGCCGGTATCTTTGGCCAGGATTTGGAGAGGGAGTTGCAAGCTCGAGGGTTCACCTGCGGCCACGAGCCTGACTCCTACGAGTTCTCTAGGTGAGTTGTCGCATGACTCAATCAGACAGGGCCAGTATTAGTGAAAAGCTACTAGCAGTGTAGTAAATTAGCCAAGTGTAGACCAAACATTAGCAGCTAGTGAGTTAGCACTGTTAGTAAATACTCGCTTGCTAGTGAAATGAAAATGTTTAGTATTGCTAGTGCTAGTTGTGACGTTATTTACCGGTACTGGAATACACTTGTGCAACATTTGCTTGTTTGAATCCAAGAAAACTATGTTACTTGTGAGATTTGATACCATGATATAATTTTACTTTAGTCTAAAAATAGCATACAACATACTCGCAGACACAACCAACTAGACACGCAATCCAAAATATTGAGCTAAACAGGGTGGTGGCGATATAGGAGTGGAGGTGACTTTCTCTTTCCTGAAGCCCAAGCCGGGCTGCTGGTTCCTACCCTGGATGTGTATTATTTTGTGTTGTGTAATATACTGTATCTGTTTAAGAGAAAAAAGTGCCTTACACCTGATAAGATATGTTAGATAGACTAATTGGGTGAATTTATATGTAGACTGTAGTTAAAAACACTTACCGTGATGGTATAAAATTTCCATTCGAATAACCTTAAAATGTAAACTAATTCCGCAATCATATATTTCCATTTGTAGTCTTGGAGGGTGGGTCGCCACCAGGGCGTCGGGGATGAAGAAGAACGTTTACGGCAACATAGAGGACCTGGTGGTACAGGTGAAGATGGTTACACCTCGAGGGACGTTGGACAGAAGCTGTCTGGGACCTCGGGTGTCAGCTGGACCGGACATGAACCATGTCATATTGGGCAGTGAAGGTGAGTATTCAACGAGCTTCAGGAAATTGTCCAAATCTACTTCACCGACCGCTCAACCAACCACTTCATATGATCTCACTCTTTCAATACCCATCTTCACCTAAATTAAGGTGGTCAAACTACGACAAGTGTGTTGGCGTAGTTTAAATTTAATCTACAACAAAACCTATAACCGAACAGCTTAACCCTCACTATTAACAGTTGTGGGAGTTTGCTGATTCATATTACTTGACATTTGAAACACACTTGATCATTTACTTATCTTTTCTTGGAATAAAGAGATGTTTAATTGGAACCTCTACAAATATTAGCAGTTTTTCTTATGACTAGGTTTGCCAATTTTTTGCCCTCAGGATCATACCACCTGAGGGATATAAGGGGTATAAGTAGAGGTGTGCGGATAGTTAAATTTCATTTCGGGTCGGATAGTTGAGGCTCGGTTCGGATCGGATCGGATATTGGGAAGTTCGGATTCGGATATTTTCGGATTCGGATAGTTCGGCGCGGTTAATAATAAGCTGCATATGTATTTTTAACCTATAAAACAATGTAAAGCGGTGTAAATCAACTTAAATGACAATTTTGAATCATAGAATTTCAAATTAGCCAAGTCCACAGTTTTCTCTCTCTTGAAAATCACAATTCACAACATTTATTTTCAAAAGCTGGTTGCTTGAATTCTAGCAGCCGAAATCTTCACACAACACCTTAGCTCAGCAGGACTGATGTCAAACATTTGGGCTTGTTTACTTGAGGTTATGTTTTATGTTGTTTCCTGGTTCTCACAAGACAAGGAGTTCGATCTCAAGTTTATTTTCACATTGTATTTCCTTACGTTTTTGGAACAGATTACTGGCCTTAAGTGGCATTTTGCGGGTTTGCCAAGTTTAAAAAACATCACTAATGCACTAAGCTGGGCTCTAGCTCACGATTTAATGTTGGGCAATTAGGCTTTATAACTCTGTAAAAGGTGTGTATCCCTGAATTTCTAAATTTCATTCTACACTTATTCACTGCCAAACATAATTCAGTAGAACCTTGATGAACCGAAATTACACTAGCCTACATAACTTCATTACCCCAAGTAAAATACCAAGATAATGTTTATAATTGTATTTGAATCGTATAATCTTAGTTTGTTAAAAATGGATTGTATGTTCAACAATTGCAGTCCATCGTTGTTATGCAGTATGGTCTCAAATTATTGTTTTTGATTTTGAAACATCAAAGTTCATTTGACAAAATTGTAGTTGAAGCAGCCCAATGTCAAGTCACGCTTGTGCAATAGTTTGTTTACAAGCTTTCTCCAGACCACTGGGGAGGGTCGGATCTGATGGGAAACGGAAAACCTTTCCCAGGGTTAAAATTGACCTGCGAATTTCTGGCCTGTTTTGCAGGGATGGACAACCTTTCCTTTCCCATCACTAATGAGGGGTCGGGGTGGGACAGGTTGGCAGCCCCTGCTGCCAGGATTATCATCGAGTTTGACGATAGGTGACAGGGGATGCAATGGATTATATTTCTAGCATTTGCACTGCGATGCACTGGAAGATAATATTATTTCCCTTAAGGAATTGTTAGCGTTTACGGATTTTATTTGTGATATATATTTATTTCCTACAGTTACCTAACAATGTACATGTTCTCTCACTGATTTGAGAAAGCAAAGTGGCCAATTCGCTCATCAGTGAGACAATGTTAACATTGTTTCACTCTAATTACTTTGTCTCACTCCAGATTTGCAACGTGAACGCACGAAATAGTGAGTGCGTAACATGCAGACTAGGTTGTATGCGCGCGAAATACGTTGGCAGCACTGGCTGTAAGTCAGCTGTTGTACTGTTGTATTTTTTCACTTCACATTAAATGTTATATTAAAAGTCACTTCTGTATAAAAATATGTTACGTTTATTCACTAATTTATTTGTTTTATGGTAACCGTAGGAAAAATATAATGTGCAACTCGAGTGCAAAGTACAATTGCCTCACTCAAGAAACCATTCCTCACTCGCCTACGTAAGTAAGTAAGGATTTCTCTCGAGTGAGTCAATTGCTCACTTTGCTCACTAGTTGCACAAATAACTATCGTCCCACAGTAAAATATTAAGTCTATTTTACGTGTGTAATGTTCAAAACGTTTGACTGCACTAATGACGTTTAAAACTTTAAATTAACATAAAAATAGGATAATGCAGATCTTGTATGGGAAATGAGACAATTTATCTTTATTTATTTTGTAAACACATTTTATATTAGACGTATTATTCATATTATCCTCTTTCATACGGTAGACCTAATACAAGCTATTTAGGTCTTGAAGTTTTGAAAGACTTATTGTAAGCTATAGCATCTTTTTTATCAAATGAAATATATCACTTCCAATAACTAAGGACTGGTGGTGTATAGGCCGTAGCACAATCTGTGAGTGGCTTATTCAATTATGCTCAATTTTATAAAAAAATGCTACATTTGGTGCATATTGATAACATTTCTACTTCATTATCAACATACTTGTTATTCTGTAAAATATGTATTCACGTATCCTCTATATTATAAATTTTGTTAATTGTAGAAACACTAGTATGAATAGTAAGTTGACATATGATCTTAATCTGTTAAAACACCTATGAAATCGTCATACTTATCAATTGTATAAATGCAAAATTTTTAATAACGTATCTATTATGAAGTTGTGTCCTATGACATTTAAGTGGCAAATAAATAGCCCGCCGCAGCATACCTGCAGACTAAGCTAATTTCCGTGTGCCTCGTAGGATTTTCAATTAAATCTATTTAAATAACATTAGGATTAACAAGTACCTTGGTTTTTTGCTACAGGGAGGGTAATAAAGTGTTTTTTTGTAAAATATTAATAGCCTCGTAAAATATATAAATTTGCCAAGTTTGATCAAAATATATCCATAAACAAGCAAACTACGTCATTTTACAATATTCTCTATAATAGTAGGAATTTTAAAAACTCATTTTTTTAACTTTCTTCGTAAATTAAAAGTAAATTAAAAAACCTACATTCACTAACTTAATATAGGCCTACTTTACCAAGGTTTTCACAATGACTTGATTGTTAAGAAGCGCAATGAGCAAGCTGACAATTAATTTTTTAGTCCCTGCAACATATTGTGTTCTCCGTGTTTGATTTGTAGTCCTGGTGTTTGATCCCGGAAACGCAAAGATATTCCTTAAAAGTATTGTTACTTGTATTCGAAGCTTATGTTGCAGCCTAGAAATATCAATTTTATGCACGCTTCAGTTAAGTACTGGTATCTTATGATTACCTACTTTCAACTCCTGTCCCAGGTTCTACTAGTCTAGGGTCGGCCATTAAATATTTTGGCTAGGGCGGCCAACCTGTCCCAGCACTAATCCTCATGCACCCTGGGACAGGTTGGCCGCCCCCGCAGAAATATTTTACGACCGACCCTTGGCCAGGAAACCCTGGGAAAGGTTATCCTACAATCGGGTCTGATAAGCCATCTATTGTTCACCCCCAAGAAGGTTCGACCCTCATTAGTGACGCTCTGCTGCACTCAGTGTGGAACCCAATACCACAAATAAATCTTTTAATATTAGAAAAGGTTTAAATACCTGCTATTAAGCAATCCAATTTTGTTGTTAGAACAACTAGTTTTGGTGTCTGTGTGACACCATCATCAGGCTGCACAAGGACAGTTTTCTTTCTTCATACGAAGAGCGTCATATTTACACGAAAATAAATAAACATTTAAACACGACACAAACACGAATACGAGACATTTATGGTAACTGATCAGTTAAGAAAACAGACGACGCTAACCCGGTGGAGTTTGAGTCCAGACTCATATTAATATTATAGTATAGTATCATAGTAATATTATTTGGCAATCCGGAGGCTAACAACTACAATGAAATCTTTTAAATGAATACAAATATTTGGTAATAATTGTTTTATTAATATTCACCTTGAAATTTCAATAAATTTTGTGTAAAATTTGACAAAAATCGTCCATTTTGACCAATTATTAATACAGTACCAAATACCAAGTACATTCATTTGTAATTAAATAATAGGTAAAAATTAACTGATTTTCGTCAAGTTTTACCCCCTGCTGTGCGCTATGTCACAAAAGCTGATAACGACATGGGATTAGTAACCATGGCAACTTCTTGAATGCGTGATGAAGGGAAACCCAAGAAATAGAAGAACAAAGAGAAAGAGGGAATATCAATTTATAATTTATCAACGTGCTTCTCTTCTGAAACAGCAATACCGGATGTATAATAAAGGTCAATGACCTAAAATATCACGATTGTGCAATATTGTATTTTGATGTTGAAATTTAAGTCACGACAAAAGTTTGTATATATCCATGGTCCCTATCGTTTAATCATTTAACACGTTCGCTGCGGCACGTCAAATAGCGGGCGTATCCCCAGTGCGGCGCAGCCCTCAGCGTCGAGTAAACCCGATTGCCGCGTGTGATTGGCCTTTTCAATTTTGGTCTGACGAATAGCAAATAACGTGAGGGGATGTCCTGCTTTACAACGAGAGTCGATGTAGTTCGCTAAACACCCACAGATAGCAGCACTGCTTGGAACGTAGCCGGTCCCATTGGAATTGTATTGCCAAATGGAGGGAAAAAGACGGGACAAAAAGAAGACTTTTGAGATTGCCAGACGGGAATTTTACGGGGAAATTTACTACCAACCTACACCACAACAAAATGCAAGTCACATACTACACGCTAACGTCGTATAGGTCCGCTTTCGACCGACGCTAGAGCAAAAATGAAGATATACAAAAGGCATTACCGAGCGTTCCCGATGGGGTACGGACGCACCGTACGGGGGCCAAGCGCCGTACCCAATCGGGAACGGCCGCACTCTACGTGTTAATATGTACACAATCAATGCTAAATAATCGTGGTTAGTTCTAACTTTATTTTTTATTATTCAAAGTTTCTACACAATAAGACAATCCAAAGTCAAACTGGGCAATGAATACTGAAAAAACAACGTATCTTGTCCTGTGATTGTAATACCACTCGCCGGCCAGTCCTTTAGGTTTAGAGAAGTAGTGCAAGTCTATATATAGCTTCAAGGTCTTACCCACCCCTTCCCCCTCCGGTCCTACTTGACTCACTACTCGCGCTCCTTTCGAGGTCATTGTCCAACCCCTCCCACCCTTCTATTGTGTTGCCTTTCTATTGTTTCTATTCTGACTTCTTCAGGAAACATTAAATCTATTGTTTACGTAACATCACAGTAGTAGGCTAGATTTTTCTACTTTGAAACAGTACTGTAAAAAAACTATTACGCAGCGCCCCTAGTGTCAGGAGCGAGACTAGCACGAGTTGACTTTCATTTGACCATGGTAGTTCTTTTCTGCTTTATGTCTGTTCGTTCCAGATGAATCTAATCGTAAAGCAAAACAGCCGATAACGGCTAAACTAGTTATCGGTATTGCATCATACGGCTTCTTTGCCGTTTGCTGTTAAGTCGTTGGAAACGTATTGCTGTAATTTTGTCCTGGGAAACTAATGATGGTTATGGAGATTTAGTTTTCTGTCCAAAACGTCAAATTATATTGTCTATCCGAAAAATTCGGATATATAACGGACAGTGTCAGATATCAAATTTGGGCTCGGTTCGGATACGGATATCCGAACCGAACCGAATCTGACCCGATTTTTCGGATATCCGCACACCTCTAGGTATAAGGGGAAGTCTTGTCTAAAAATTCCCTTAGGTGGATTAATTGTAAATCAAGATTAGTAGTATTAAATATGTCTCGGTTTTGTCACTGGAAAATAAAAACAGACTGAAAAGTGTTGTTGATGCACTTAAAATTCTTTGTTTTTAAATATAGCCTAACTTAGAGGTCACCCTGTGGTCGAAAACTCAACCAAAAATATCTAATTGTGCAAACTTTTCCATTTTCACCCCACACTCATAAAACTTGATAAAACATGTGATTGGAATTTCTTCCATTTGTTTTGATTTTCTTTCTGTTTATATTTTGTTGTTATTTCGTCACCAGCATAGCAATCCATAAGGCCCTTGTCAATTTTATTTTAATTTAAAATTCATTTTTGTGCCTATTTTTTAGCCTATTTTAATTTATAAAGAGATTCTGTACATCTACAGGCAAATATCTTTCTAACAGTATGCTTAAATTTTCCCTGCGATGCACACAAGCTGAGAAAAAGGGTTTTAAGAAACAAGCTTGCCTTTGCCAATTCATTTGTAGGATAATCTCAAAATTAGTTTTGTGGAAGATGAAACTGACCTTGATTATTCCAACAGGTACTCTAGGGGTTGTTACAGAAGTGGTGCTCAAGATCCGACCCCTCCCCAGGTGTAAGAAATACGGGTCCATTGTTTTCCCAGACTTTGAATCAGGAGTGAAGTGTATGCGTGAAGTAGCGAGACAGGTGAGTTCAAACTAGTTTTTCAAAGTTTATTTTGTATATGTAGTTGTTTTTTTTAGATACTGTCCAATTTCTAATCTTATTTTACTAAGCATTATGTAATGTTAGGTTGTTCAAATACCAACAATGGCAATGGCAATACCAATTGGATCCACCCTATCACACTATGATTGAACTTGTTGCAACTAGAACATAAGAACGTAGAAAGTAAAACTAGAACTAGAAAGTAAAACCAATCAAATTTCCAATTTTCCTGTAACATTTTAACATAAAATGAGGTTACTAACCTGTCGTCAATCAATCCTCTAATGTCTTGGATGACTAGTTTCGGGGTTAAAACCCCATTTTCAAATCTCTTCAGTCTTCAAAAGTCAAACATGTTTTCTTGCATAAGCCGTCGTCAAAATTACTTCACACATACACATAAACACACACGAAAACATTTATATTTACAAATCATGTACATGCGCGTGAGGCCGGCCAAGGACAAAACCAGACTGCGGGGTTTGATAAGAGTGTAGGTTAGCCGATGCCTACTTGATGGTGTTGACCTTGGGGAAGGGGAACCAGCTGTTTATCTCTTCTATTGTTCTGTAGTTTGGTCACTCTATCAAATAAAATGTTTGATCCAAAATTTAACTTCTCGTTCAAAACCCCCAAGGTCAACACCATCAAGTAGGCATCGGCTAACCTACACTCTTATCAAACCCCGCAGTCTGGTTTTGTCCTTGGCCGGCCTCACGCGCATGTACATGATTTGTAAATATAAATGTTTTTGTGTGTGTTTTTGTGTGTGTTTATGTGTATGTGTGAAGTAATTTTGACGACGGCTTATGCAAGAAAACATGTTTGACTTTTGAAGACTGAAGAGATTTGAAAATGGGGTTTTAACCCCGAAACTAGTCATCCAAGACATTAGAGGATTGATTGACGACAGGTTAGTAACCTCATTTTATGTCAATAGATCAATCCTGGAGGCAAATTATGTATGTAACATTTTACGTTTGTTGCAGAGGTGCCAACCCGCCAGTATCAGATTGATGGATAACGAGCAGTTCCAGTTCGGCCAATCTCTACGACCAGTCAGTGGCTACTGGACAGCCATCTTAGAAACTGTCAAGAAGACTTTGCTAACCAAAGTGAAAGGTTTCGATCTGGAACAAGTGTGTGTCGCTACTCTTCTGTTTGAAGGTAGACAGATTTAGGATGTAACATAGAGCACAAGGGCCTAGGGTTTCATGTTTTGTTTAGAATAGTAAGCTTACTTGAATGAGAAAGTGCACACTTATGTTAAAAAACTAAAATACACAAAGTTAGCATATTTTATCGTCCCTGACAGCACTTTCAACAAAGGAAGTTTTCAGTTGGGAAGAAAATAGTAGGTTATTGGTTTAGGAGAGGTGTAGTTTACATGGTTATTGGTTGTTTGGTTATTGGATTTTTAGGTGGTTGAACAGCAGGCTGAGTGGGAAATAGTACTAGCTCCAAAAGTTTCCCAAAAATGTTGAATGTTTCCCTGTCACTAAAAATGTTCAACCAAGATAGGTTATTTTGTGTCCAAGCCTGTAGAATTTTTAGAAGGTATAATACTAAGACTTAAGGAAAGTAGTACAAACCCATTACAATTTTTATGGTTATACTTAGGGGTTTTAGCGTAGGTAGCCAATAAAGCTTATATGAGTTCGTTAATAAAGTCAATAGAAGGGGTGTGCGAAGCAGCAAAAAAATTTTGATTCGATTCAAAAGATTTTAAGCCAAGTATGAATTTATAAGCAATAAAAGGTTAAATTACCTGTGTCTGCCGGTCGATCCTGTAGAATCCTATTGCAGGATATGCATTTCGGCGAAGTTAAATCGCCATCATCAGTCCTTAATATAAGATCTTGAACTTCCCCATTAGGTGCGTCTTAAAGTTTTGAAAACACGTACACGAATTTTACACATTTTTATAAGGCACAGGTTAATGAGAACAAAAATATTGAGAGTATAATTCTGAATGAAAAACTTAAATTTAAATCCCATCACATTTTCAATAACATCTTAAAACAAAGGCAGAGGTCGACACCCATTGGTCTGCAGTCCACATCAGCTGATAAAACAAGACCGACAATGCACAACTAGTTCAGTCTGCATCCTGATCTTGACAACCTGTGTAGTTTACGTAATAGGCCTATTAAAAGTGTTATTTGTTTTCGTAATGTCTTCGTCCCGTCCGTGTTTGTCTGTGTACTTTTAGTAGAAAAGAATGACAAGGATTTCACCATCCAACTGCGACATTTTGACAATGGCCGAAACATGTTAATGACCTCCAATAAAAATGAGCTGTTTGTCGGATTTATAAAGTATGTAACCTGTTCATCAAATTGAAAGACTACAAGATCGCGCCACTCATCTCCATTCATACTTGGCTTAAATTACCTACTTTGTATGGTCACCATTCAAATTAAAAGTATCTATCTATCTATCTATATATTAATAGGCAAGCATGTTTCTTTAAAACCTTTTTTCTCAGCTCGTGTGCATCGCAGGGAAAATCTACGCATACTGTTGGAAAGATATTTTCCTGTAGATGTGCAGAATGCCTTTAAAAGTAAAAATAGGCTAACAAATAAGCAGAAAAAATTAATTTGAAAACTTCAAAAAATTAACATGGACCATATGGGTTGCCATGATGGTGACGAAATAACAACAAAATGTAAACAGAAAATCAAAACAAATGGAAGAAATTCCAATCACATGTTTTATTTACAGTGTGGGGAGAAAATAGAGAAGTCTGTACATTAATTATTTTTGGTCGAGTTTCGACCACAGGACGATCACTAGTACTTATTTAATACGCAAGCAGGTTTTTTTCATTTTTGTGACAATTACTCCCCTGAAACTACTGAACCGATTGACATGTTTTTGGTGTCATTGGAAATTACTCGATAACAATGTTACTATTTTAAGTATTTACAGATCTCCAAATGGTGATGTTGATATTTTCCTGACTGAATTTGAACATGCCTTGAAAAAAATACTAAAACATGATCAAAAACTTATTATTGCTGGTGATTTCAACATTGAAATGGGTGTTGGATGTGAAAATAATACAGTTTCCCTAAGATTTTTAAACCTTCTACGATCTTTTAATCTCTTTCCTTCAAATAATCAACCAACTCGCAATAACTCCTGTATAGATAATATAATTGTCAATTTTAATAGGAATCTGTTTGACATCAGATTGGGAGATCACTGTTTTTCTGATCATGTACCACTTTTATTTAATATGTATTCTGCTACCAACTCTCTCAGAAGTAAAATTCAACCTGGCAGTACATATATTAGATTACAAAAAAATGAAAATGTTGACTTATTTAAATATAATTTAGAAAAACAAAATTGGCAAATGATTGATGATTTTAAACAAAATAAAATTAATGTTCAGACGTTATTTGATGATTTTTTTAAGAAGTATGTTAATTTATGGCATTTTTGTTCTCCTTTGATTAAAGTAACTGATAAGGTTGCATGTAAAAAATCCAAAATTATTAATTGGTATACTCCTTCATTAGCAGAAACAAAAAGTAAAATGTTAACTCTGTACACAATTTATAAGAATATGCTTAAGCAAGGTTCAGAGCACTGTCAGGCTGCTTATAATGTTTATTTGCAACAAAAAAGATTATATCAAAGAGAACTTCTGCAAGCTAAAAAAATTGCTGTAGAGCAGTATATAAGCAACGCCTCAAATTCCTGCAAGGCTGCATGGAAAGTTATAAGCAGTGAGTTTTCTCCAACTCACAGTTCTGATGTCAATTTAGATCCGGATGAATTTAACAATTTCTTTATAGACTCAATAAATCAGTTAAGCAAAGGAACTAATCTCGGTCCCAATAATCCAGTAGAACTCTTGAGTAGTATTCCAAAAAACACAACAATGTTCACATGGTCAGAAATTTCCTCAACTGATGTAATACAAGTAGTATCTAAATTCTCCAACTCTAATTCAATGGATTATTATTGGCTGTCTAACACAATACTGAAACAAACCATCCATATAATAAGTGAGCCACTTGCTTTTATTTTTAACAAATGTATGTCAGAAGGATACTTTTCCTCATTGCTCAAAATATCTAAAGTGATTCCAGTTTTTAAAAAAGGAGATAAAAATTTACATCAAAATTACAGACCTATCTCTATTATTCCGATATTCTCTAAAATATTTGAATCTCTAATGTACAATCAACTTAGTTATTTTTTCGAGTCCCAACATTTATTTTCTGAATGCCAGCATGGTTTCCGTCCTGGTAAGTCTACCACCTCTGCAGTACTTAACTTAACAGATTTATCACTAAATGCATTTGAAAATAAGGAGTCGGTTTCGCTAGTTTTGTGTGATCTCAGTAAAGCTTTTGATAGTGTTCCTTTTGATGTATTACTACGTAAATTATCATATTATGGCATTGAAGATGGCACAATAAAAATTATTCAATCATATTTGTATGACAGAAAACAGTATGTATCAGTTAAAAATAAATGTTCTGCTATGAAACCTGTAAAGACCGGTGTCCCTCAGGGTTCTGTTTTAGGCCCTTTCTTTTTCTTAGTATACATAAACGACTTGTCTCAAAATCTCAATATCCATTCAATAATTTATGCTGATGACACCACTTTACTAGCCAGTCACAAAAACTTAAGAGTACCTGAAACAGGTCACTGCAGGAACAGGCTCTTGCTTGGTTTTCTTCAAATGAGCTACATTCTAATCTTGAAAAGACACAATATTTGACATTGAGTCTCAAGCAGGAAATTAGTCTAGATTCTGTCAAGCTTTTAGGATTTCACATTGATTCAAAATTAAGTTGGTCAAATCATATTGAGGCGGTTTGCAAAAAGTTATCAAGAGTAGATTGCTTATTATGGAAATTAAAAAAATTTGTTAACCAAGAATATTTGAGACTATCGTACTTTGGTCTGTTTCAGTCCCACATACTCTATGGCATTCTAGTTTGGGGACATTCCCCTCATGTAGCTGATATTTTGACGATTCAAAAAAAGGCAGTTCGTAATATTGCTAATTCAAGATCCCTATCTCATTGTAAACCACTTTTCATACAATTAAAAATTCCAACAGTAATTAATTTGTACATTTTTCAAGTTTTACTCTACACCGAGTCAAACTTGCATTCTTTCCCCCTTAGATCTGACACTCATGAGTACAATACTAGGGGTGGAGGCAAGCTCAGCATGAAACCTCATAGACTGGCTAAAACGGGTGACTCTTTCAAAATTAACTCAATTCATTTTTTTAATAAACTACCTGATAACTTAGTGCAAAATTTGTTGATTACAATATTTTCAAAAATAGAATTTATAATTGGCTAATTCAAAATCCTTTCTACAGCATAAGTGACTTTATAAAGTGTAATTTTGATGTAAATTTTAATTAAAATAAGCTATTATACCTAATTAATTGTACTTTTTATATTATTTGGATGTATCAGAAACTTGATTGTATTTGGATGATTATTTTGTAATGTATATGACGTGTCCTATTTCTTTGTAAAAAGATCAATGGAATAAATGATTCTTATTCTTATTCTTAGTGTAACGTGAAGTTGTGCAGGAAACTTTTTTTATAGGGAAATAATTAGAGTGAGGCCCTGGGGCCCTTTAAAGTTTCGTATTTCTCCATAAGATTAACATGGGAAACAAATATTGTTATGAAACTCCAGCTGTTTTTAGAAATGCTGTTCTGCTATTTAATTTAATTTGTTTACAAGGAGAATTGTTTCTTGGTGCCATGTGGTCAATGAGTTATACCTTTGCATATATTTTAAATGATATACACTATATAAAATGATGGTACTATAATACATTAAGAGATATTCATTTAAATAATCAATAAGTATGATTGAGCCTTTGTTTATACGTTTCCTGGTTAGTGTTTTGTAACTGTTCCTTATAGTACAGTATATTATAGTATCTTAAAGTAAAACCAATCTATTCTTTTCTGCATTCTCACCCCGTAGCGAAGCACGGGCAGGTCAACTAGTTAAGTCTTATTTCACTGACAAAAACAGTTGAAATTACAAGTAAACACATGAATTTTGAAACGATTCACTCCCCTGGACAACTATGGAAACCAAAATATCCTATAGTAAGAACAAACACTCCACAACTAAAGAAGGAGCTAGTAGTTCCGAGAATTCTGTGTTTTGTTTATTTGTGTGCTTTCAACTAGTTTGATCTGTCAGGTAATGCTGCTGTTCAATCTGTCCTGCACAAAATCCTAAAGCAACCTTCACCAAATAATGTCACAACAACCAATTAAGGTATTAACTATTAACTATAAATTTTAGGTGAACCTGAAGACGTGGCAGTTCAAGAGAAGAAAATATACAATATTGCGTCCCAAGTTGGTGGAATGGCAGCGGGCGAGACCAACGGAGAGAGAGGATACACGCTGACCTTCGTAATAGCTTATATTAGGGTGAGTTGGCTCTGTAGCAGTAAAAAAGCAGATTTTTAACTTGATCTTACTCAAATTGATCTGTTGAAAGAAGTAATAATGGTTTAAATATTTTCAGTCACCCAATTCAAATAAAGATTTTCTGCGACCTAGGTTTCAGCACATTGATGTGCTATTATCAGGCTTCAGTGCAAAATATTCAGTCCATTGGACGTTGTTGAGTTGACATTAATGCACAATACACAAACACAGGTTGGAATAAATAAACATTTACCAATTGGTATTTACAAAACAAAGACTTTTACATGTCCGTTGAAAAATGGAGATGTCTGTTGGAAAAAAATGAAAATAAAATGTGAGTTCACCAGCTGCGACGTCCTCTCAACCCATGATTTGTTCATTTAATTTTCATAAAAATTGTGTATTCCATAGTTTTCAGTTATCCATGTCTTCCCTCTGTTCCATTATTATAGATAGGCAAGATTCTCCTGTTGTTTTAGACTATTGAGTTCTCTTCTGTCATCAAGTTGCCAGTCCAAAGTAAAAACAAACTGACTCAAAGACAAGTGCATTAATTTTAAATAAATCTCAGTAAAGTCCCAAAAGCACACTATGCACAATTACGTAAAAAATGTTTGACCAGGTAAATTAAGTCTTGTAAAGAGCTCACTACTAAAATGCATGTTTTGTTTTTTAACATTTTTGCATTCATTCGTTTAATGAATCTAATATTAACTTCAAATTGTTGTAGGACTTGGCTCTGGAGTACGGAATTGTAGCAGAATCGTTTGAAACATCTGTGCCGTGGGATAACACTCTGATGCTGTGTAGAAATGTTAAACATCGGATAGCACAAGAGTGTAAAGGTAATATTTTATTAACTTAATGCTATGTATTGTAGGCAGAATAATTACTTCCATACCAGAGTACTTTGGGCATTAACAATCAATGAATCTATAATATTAAAACGAAACAGTTTTTTTTTATTTCACGATTCTGAATCAACCACTCGACGGATTTTCATGATTTTTGTGTTGAAAGAAAGATAATTTTGAGAACTAGGGAATGTTGAAGCCATAATTTTAGTTTAGGGTCCCAGTTTTTAGAAATTTAGTTTTAATTTTTAAAAAGTCTAGCAGCCGACGCTAAGATTCTAAACTAGCTTTTGGCATAAAATAATTTGCTTAACATAACAGCTGTAAACATTCAGCTTTTGTGTCACAAATTCAGCATTTGGATAAAAATGTAAAGACATACTTAGGGTTGACTTATTTATACTATGTGTAATGCTAATCATTGATACGTTCAATTCTTCTATTAGAGGATGACAGATTAATTCAATATACATAGTAAAATACTAGGATGTTCAAATTATTTTTTAAAGCAATCTTTGTAATCTTCGATTTGTTTTAGAGCAATATAATTTGTTTTAACTAACAGCTGGTTAAATATAAACTATGGAACTATGAGGTTATTTTATTTACTCTTATTATGTCATTGATTATAGGAAATAAGTAAGATTAGTAGAGATAATTAGACCACAGTTTTAACCAAAATTAATTAAACCACAGTACAAATCGAGGCTCTGTACATGAGTCTTAATAAAAAAAGGATAAATACAAATTATTTTACTGCTCCACTTTTCAAGGAAAGATTAGAAAAATAACAATGTTTACATGTTTTAATTCTTAATGGTAGCTTTTTGTTTACAATTAATGTTATTCTGCCTTAACTGTGTTTGGATTAGGCCCGGAAATATTGATGTCATAAAAAGAAGATCAAGAATAATCAGGAATCACGATTTTAAATTACCACCACAACCTCAGCCGGGTTTTATACAAAGATAAACAGATGGATGACATAGATTGAACACAACGTCAACATTGACCTAGGATACTGCAATTAGACAAACCATCCTTTTATGAAATCGTGTTCAGTTGTGGTTACGTTTAGGGGCGCCTATTTCAGCGCCAAGTGAAAATATCACTTTTATTTCAACTATGAATATATTGTAGTTTAAATTAACTAATATGGGAAATTACGATGTACGTTTATTCAATGAGGGTGGCTAATTATCAGGGATAGTACTGATAACGGTATGGATAATAAACATTGACAATTACGTCATTAGCTTTACTAGCGTGTTTACTTTTTTATTTTCGGGCTACATGTAACCAGTTCGTTTTTTTCAAATGAATGTTATTTGAACCAAACAGCTGTTTCAAAACAAACTGTTATTGTTTTTACTTTTCTTTGTTTACACTTATTTATTTAGCAATTAATGCAGTGAAATTGATATAAAGGATAGGTGTGACGATTAGTTTTGATGTTAGGACACCAAAGTCAAATTATGTGTAGGTACTGTGAATTTTATTGGATATTATCGTTTTATTTTTGGTCGTTTCTATTCAGACCTACTGGAAATTGTGTATAGTAGTTGTATTTTGGTGATAATAATTATGGAAGAGGCAGGTATGCTATGGAAGGTGGTATCGTTGACTAGGTCTGTACACTTCTCAATTGACTATTACTCTCTCTACCGTAGGCTACTTATAATCAGTGTGTGTCTGTGCGAATCGACTGCAAATCTCATTACAACGCTTTTCACATCGTAAAAATTGCAGAATTACTGTTTTATTGTAAAATTATAGGATTTAAAATGCATATCGTATAGGCCTATGAAGGAATAAAAACATATTTGGTCACACAACATTTGTTTACAAGATGATTTTTTACATTAAAACTGCAAGAAAATTTGCCTTTATTTGTGTAAACTAGCTGATCTGAATTGTACACGGTTTTAACTGACTACTGAATTCCCGTACGTAGGACGGGCTAACACCTCGTTTTATTTAAATTTTCAAATGAAGTATTTTAGTCACGCCTCTAGTGTTGGATGTTATCAGACTTTTATAAGATTGTGATTTCTTCTTTTTTCATGTCTACTGTTTTATGTTCTGTCGTTCTCCCATTAATTTTTTGCCTTGGCATGCCTTAGTGCTCTTTCTCCCTCTGAAATCGCCCTACCTGGCCTTTGTTTATGTGCTTTGATTTTTAGTGGTTTAGTGTGTTTGTCTTTTATGCTTAAAGTTTATAACTCTTGTTTTTTTAAATCTTCAGTAAAAAGTTTAGCTTTCTCATATCTTCTTTTATTTCTATCATCCATTTGATGTTGATTTTGCTATTACATAGTTTTTAGGATCTTCCTCCATATCCTGAATAATGTCTAAAGAATGAGATATTCTTTTCTTTCTTATTGTGCCTGTTACTGGTTTTTTTTCTCTTTAAGGCTGTTCATTTTGTAACAGTGTCCAATGTCTGTGTACTTTGTAGTTTTTACTGACTTATGTTAACTAATATCTATGTAAACTATTAAAGGGGGTTTTAATGGCACATGTGTTATTTTCTGGATGCGCGACAGTTAAACTTGTTTTAACATAGTGGCTATTGAAAACATCCTTCATTTTACATGTTTTAGCGAATTTCCCATATAGGGAATAAGCTATTACCGTAGTACTCACGGTAAGACCTGGACCCGGGACCGATTTTTTTTTTCGTTTTGAGGTCCCTAGAGGTCAAAAACACCATCCGTTCAAATTCATATATATTTATTTATATATATATATATATATATATATATATGTGTCCGTTAGCGCGATAACTCGAGCAAAAATTATCCGATTTTGATGAAATTTGGTACAAACGTGTAAACCTACGTTTATTCGAACGAGTTCGCGAACCAGCATGATCGGACCATGGGAACGGGGGTTTATGGGGTAAAAATGGGTTTTTCCCATTTTTGACCCAAAAAACATAAAATTTTGCAATTTCTTTCGAAACTATTTTGTAGAGCTTAAAAAAACAAATAATTTAGTATATTGAAGCGTTATAATGCGCCTAATGGTTACGGCGAAAATTCCAAAAAATTGTAAATTTAAAATTCCCATGTTATTCTTATGGAGAATAAGTAAACTGTTGTAGTTTGCTTGTTTATAAACATATTTTGCCCAAATTTGGAAAATGTTTTTATTTCTTACTAACTATTAACATTTTACATAAAAAACACTTTTACCCTCCCTGTTGCAGCAAACCTAAGTATGTTTTAAACTGATTCTATTTAAATAGGGAATAAATGTGATAATTTTAAGGAGACATTTTAGTGTAAATCCATTCAGGGAAATGGAAATTCGCTTAGTCTGCAGGTTTGCTGCGGCGGGGGTATTTGGTAGTGTCTAGTCAATTTATTTATAATTTAATTTTTTTCCCGCAGCTCTCGGGATACAGTACTATCTGATCTCTTGCCGCGTGACTCAGACGTACGACGCCGGTTGTTGTGTCTACTTCTACTTCGGATTCAACTGGCGCGGACTCGCCGACCCAGTCGGCAGTTACGAGTTGATAGAGGAGAGAGCAAGAGATGAGATAGTGGCCTGCGGAGGCTCCATCAGTCACCATCACGGCGTGGGAAAACTGAGACGGAGATGGTGAGTATTACTATAGAGTTATTTAAACACTCACAGAAACCTCCGTCCCTATGACTGCAGAGAAATTTTAACGAATAACAGCAACACTGTTTAAAAGCTGATGCTCCTTTCAACAAAACATTTTCCAACTCTAATCAATTTTACTTTAGTGTAGGCCTATCTCTTGTTATTTCTTGTAGTGCTTAGAAATCTAATATTGAATCCTAATTTCTTCTGGAGATTTTTTTTCTCATCTCACACACTAGTAATATTATTTTGTCAAAGTCAAAATATCTTTATTGTACATTCATTATCAACTACAATGGTGTCAAAAATGATTCAAATCTTTTGGAAAACTGCTTTTACAGAAGTTCTTCGATGTTATCTAGGAATTTGTTCAATGTGTAAAATGGTCTTCCCTTCAGCCACATCTTTAACTCTTTTTTCAGTTTGTCCCCTGTAAAACTGTACATGGAACTTCATGGATGCTGCTGGTAAATTCTTTTGAAGCTTGCAGTCGGTATAAGATAGATTTTTCTCCAAAAGAGTAGATCGATGAAGAGGCAAGTTAAACTTGGAGCCATGTCGAGTGTTGTAGGAGAGAAAGTCTGTTTCTTGGTGTGGGTCTAGTCTGTCCAGATGCAGAAAACTCTCATGTATATACAAAGATGCAACTATAACTATTTCCAGGTGTTTGTAGTTATTCTTCTTATTTATGATTTTCAGTTAACATTTTTGTTTTTGATCCTGTCTCAATCTTGAGTGTGCACTGATGTTTTAACGGATTTTATTTTTCAGCTTGTATTTAACCATTGTCTTTTTTGTCGGTTGTAGTGTTAGTATGATAGTTTATTTTACAAACATGTTTGACAGAAATATTTTAAGCAAACACAATCTGTTATTCAAGCCATCTGTTTGCAGGTATCCTCAAACTGTATCTCAGCTAGGAGTTGAACTCTTCAGTACCTTCAAGAATCAACTGGATCCGAAGAACATTTTTGCCAACGGAAATTTACATACTCCTTCAAAATCCACACATTTTGATAAGTGAAATGTTAAAAAGTCAATGAAGACATTTGACTTTTTGTTCCAAACCACCAAAAAGTTGCATTTGTATTAATATGTTTACTGTAGTCAAAATTTGCTAGATATGTTAGCTTTATTTTCCCTAGTGTTTGTGTTTAAAGGATGTTTTTAAGAAACCCCAGGGATATAAATCATGACAACATTATTTAAACAGGATTAAAATTGTTGGGTTAAAAATGTTGACCATCTTAATTTATTATAAAGTATTTTTTTAGAAAAAAAAAGATTTTTGTGATGGAAACAAACAAAATTAAGATAAATAAATGTGTTAAAGTTACTCTGTATTATAACCAATCAAAGATAATATAAAGTTTTTAATGTTTTAGGCCTTCAGAGCAATCACATACTTAATTTTACATACTTAATCACTTAATTTTTTAATACTTAATACTTAATTTTTTATTTAATCACATACTTAGATATGTTGCAGAGATATTACTTTTACACACTTCCAATGCTTGTTTACTTTATTTTCATCGATAAAAAAATCAAAAAAGTACTAGCAATGCAAACAAGTTATTTAGTGCATTCTAATTTTTCATTCAGCAAAATTAGGCAATATTAGTATGTTTAAATTATTTTCAATATTCTTAAATTTAATTCATAGTCTTGACAATAGTTTGTATGTATTTTATTCGGTTTAATATTAATTTAACTTATTCTTCGTAATTTTACGGCATAGTTAAATACCAGAAAAATTGCATTTTAGAGCTTGAAATCTAAGTCATTAGTAGTAATTAATTTTATTTCTTCAATTTATATTAATTTAAATGAACCTGAGCCATGATAATGTTTATAAAGACATCCTAACAAAATTTAAATGTATGCTTTTAACTATTACTGCCAAGTACAGTATTCGTGATGTTCTTAGCTTTTTATATCACTTTTTGTGTGTTTGTGTTTATACTTTATGTTACCATTTAGTTTAAGGCATCACTTCCTATCTTCCTTGTACTTCATACAATGTGCTACTTATAAGATTCAATGTCTTTGTAATTACTTAAATAAAGTGAATTGCATAATTAGGTATCTTTTATCATTTTAAATCTAAGATTGCTGATTTAATCTTTAAAGGGGAATTAGAGAACCCGTTGCTTTTAACCTTTGGTCATAGACGACAGGTTGATGGAAGACAGTGATAATAGTGTTCCACAAGTATTTTAATTTTCTTCCCCCATAGGCCTACATAATAGAGGAAGTATTTTTTTATTTTTTATTCTCGGGTTTGAGTTTAGGGTGGAAATATTAGTTTTGGGTTACCCTGAATCCTTTGAAGTGATGTTTGAGTGTGTGTATGTCTGTCTAGTAAGTATTTATGTGGATGCTACGTACTAAATCGGTGGTCTGATTTTGATAACATTTTGTATGTGGGTGGTTCAAACTATTATTTCATTTGTAATACAATCCAACAATTCAATGAGATAATGTTAAAAGCATATAGGCAGATATATTTTTGCAATCAACAGTCAAGTAGGTACTCAATCTTAAAACAGCCCAAAACTTCTTTTTCTTCTATGTTTTAAGATGATGCAGAACTCCCAATTAAGATGAACATTCAATCATGAATTAAGACAACATTTAAAAATCCATATTTATTTGAAACCTTTTTTATAAATGTATATATCAACGCCTTAAGAAAGTATATGGATTATATTCATATACTAAAGCTGGATTGATTACACCAGTTTTTCTAAGTATAGGTCGGCCGTTTAGAAAACGACCTGCGCGAAATTTTTAGCGCATGTAGGGGAGGTAACGGGGAGGGAGGGTACGTTCCCCCTCTCCGCCAATTGCTGTTTTCACAAAATGTGTGCATAGTGACGTCACGTGCTAGCTGAACGTGTTTTATTTTACCAAATCATATGTTTTCTTGTAGTTTCCCAAAGACTTTCGAATGACAATCATTACGAATTAGCATTGAATATATAACACTATTTAGCGTTTTATATCCAATATAGTGTTGTATTCAATATTGAATATAGTCATAGTGTTATAAAGTACAGGGTGCGGCACAAAACCGATCCATTTTCTGCAGAGCACTGTTCAGCGACAGGTTGTCTGAAAGTGATGGGAGTAAGCTCGTTGGAAAGTCTACACAATGCCATTTTTTCTACACACAGATCAGTGGTCGCCTGAGCTACGTGAGGTTGTTATGGAGTTGTTTTAAAAAAGTATTGAATTCATTCATTGCAACTCAGCAGCATAAGCAGTTTCGTGTGTTCTTTCAATTAACACTTTAGCTACCAACTATACTCATCCCTCAGTAACAGAGTAGAGTGACGGTCGGTAGGGAACGTGTTAAGGCGACATGGAGAAGTTCCGTTGCGTATAAAAATAATGTAGTGGGTTACTAACTTTAGAACAACGGCTTCTGCGTTGAAAAGGAAGCTGAAAGGCCGACCAAAGTCAGATCGGATGCCAGACAACGAACATTCGACAGAGTTCGTACTGCTGTGGAAAACAGTCCCTCGCAGGCCCGCCCGAAAACAAGAGGCTTGCCGAAAATGTCTGACAGCTCAGTTACATGAATTTTAAGGTTAATTTTCATCCCTACAGATTAGTTAGAATAATATTCTGTTTAATGGTGTTATCCCATACAGATAATCACGACGGAACCTTTTTTGCAAGCTCCTACTTATGTTTTATATAATTGAAAATCTCTCATTTAAGTAGCCTTAGTGGAAAATAAATAATTACAAATAAATTGACAAGATTCTTTTTACATATATTTAACAAAAACAGCACATAACGACATATAGCGTAAGTTGTCGAGATTTTATTACACTAAAATGACATACACTAAACCCAAGCACTAAACTACTAAACCCGTGGAACCCCTCGGACTATGGTTTTTCTTAATAACTTCAAAAATTTACTAGACGCTTACCGAATGGAATCTCTCGTTTTAAGAAGTGGAAAATCATGACCACAGCAAACAATCACGAATACAGGACCCACCGACCCACCGCAATGGCTGTTGCCGCGATAGGGACAATCATCACGAATCTAGCCGCGATTAAGATATGGCCGCAATCACTAAGAGTCATGAAAGCTGAGATAATCGCAGGAGATTATCGCGGATGTTGCCACGATTGTGTAAGACGCATATAACGTGATTGCAATTATAATGGTGTTGCCACCATCGCAAGTAACGATCACACATCTTAGTGACGGCCTTTTAGTGAATTTCCTATATAGGGTATAAGCTATCACCGTAGTACTCATGGTAATACCTCTGGACCCGGGATGGCAAGGCATATAAAAGAAGGTGTGTGCACGCACATCCCTCACCCCTCCAATCAGCCAATCAAGTTATTTACTGCTTTACTGTTTTTCGGTTAAATGGTACCATATAACTGTACAATATAACTTGCTGTAGTAGTGTTATGTATAACACTACTACAGTATATTCATTCAATGTTGAATACAACGCTATATTAAATATATATAACTAAATAGTGTTATATATTCAATGCTGATTCCTAATGATTGTCATTCGAAAGTCTTTGGAAAATTACAAGAAAACATATGATTTGGTAAAATAAAAGGTAAAATAAAATAATGGGTAGGGGTGGGGTGGTAGCGGAGTGGGGGAAGAGCAATATTCTGTCTCACTCTCACAGCTCGGTATCTCTCTCTTGCACCAATGCTACGAGGAGGATGCTTTCTAAGCGGCCGACCTATAGTGTAATATTGCAAAATGTTTATTAATAAGAAAGGGATTACAAAGAAAACAATCTTACAAATGTATCACAATTTATTCTAATCGTTCCAGTAAAATTTTGTTTCTTGAGAAGATTGTTTATCCTCTTAAGGAGATAAGCAACGTTTCTGAAAAAGAAGAAAAGAATACAGGTTATAAAGAAGAAAAGTCTTAGAGAAAGAAAATTAGTAGAAAATAGATGTTGTAAAAGGCATGCACTGAAGTAGAGGTTTATCTTTCTGAAAGCCAAATAAACTATTTCTTTACTTTTAGCATAGCAATTTACTCAATTATTTTATAATATTAATATTAGTTTTTCTCTTAAAAGTGGCGACCTTAATAATTTCCATGATATGATGAAATTTTTTATTATGAGGTGTACACAACTAATTGTCAGTTCATTTTTAACTGCTCTACTTGATACTTTTGTAGTCTTGACTCCTCGCATAATCCGACTGTGCCATCACCTGTCGATGATAATTGTATTGCGGTAATATTATAACCATTTAAAATGGTTGTGTGGCATCATCACCACTCTTTTCTTCATTTTTACAACTGCGGGGAAAATATTGTTCATCCACTGCCGTCACAGAAACATCATAATCTTCCGTGGTCACGAAAACATTACCATTGACTTTCACAACCACAGAAAAATCTTAGCTAAATCCCACGGTCATGGAAAAAGTCGTCCTTTTCACTGTTCCGACCATGTTCCTGGTTCCGTAAGTGACGGATTAGTATTGTGTTCAATTTGTGTCAATAATTGTAATTTCTCAACTGCTTTAACGTTTTAATTGCTGATAATTTAAGCAATAACAAAAAAAAAACATTAAAAAATATTTGCATAAAACTGTAACATTCAAATTCAAAATACAAAATAAAAATGATTGATAGGAAGCTAAACTAAATAAAATACCAGTTTATAAAAAAAAATATGTATATTTAAGAATACACAAGAACTAATACTAACAACATATAAACAAAAACAGTTAACAGTATAATAAATAGCTTTCTTTCAGACTAGAATAGAATAGTAAAACTCTACAAGATAAACTAACAAAGCAATTGGGATTTTGTATTTATTCAATAGTTTATTAACAAAGCAATTGGGATTTTGTATTTATTCAATAGTTTATTATTTAAATTCAATTGACCATAAATTACGTACATCACAGTATAGAGGATTTTTTTATTACTCACATTACACATGTTGTTAAAATACAGGGTGTCCCGGAACTCTCTACCAATATTTTAGGGCATTGTTCCTGGGTAAGAAACATATCTAAATATCATATTTAAATTGTCCGGAAGTCCTTAGTTACTCAGATAGCCGCCATTTTGTTTTTTTCACTTATTAATTTTTTTCTGAAAATTGGTTAAACATACGAAGTTGAAACTTTGCACAAACATTTATGACAACTAGACAAAGCTACAAAAAAATTATGACGATTTTTAAAATTCATAAAATAAAATGGCGGCTGTTTAAAATTTTGTTTCTTAAATTACTCGAAAACCGTTGATGTTACAAAAATTTTACAAGAATAACTTTTTAAAGGCAATTTTATT